CAGGAATCCAGCATCACTTGGATTTGTTCCTTCTTCTTCCCCCTTGAAACCAGTCCCTACTGCCTGGTCTGAAGCGGGAGTCTCCTGCTTGGTCTCCCCCACTCTGATGCAGCACGTAGTGGGTACCAACACGGATTCTGGCATCAGCCTGCCTGGGTAGGATCCCAGCTCTACCACTTACTAGCTGTCTGATCTCAGGGAAGTTACTTAACTTCCCTACGTCGCAAAAAAATGGGATTATAATAGAGAGTTAACAGTAACCTCTGTTATAGGATTGTTGTGAGGTTTAATAGATGTCAAAATACTTTGTACATGCTTGGAATAAAGTAAATGTAATAAGATTTTGTTATCATCATCATCATTATTGTTTCATTTATTTATTTATTTATTTTATAAATATTTTAGAATGCTCACTATGAGATGGACACTTTCCAAGGTATTAAGGGACATAGTCATGAACAACAAAGGTGATTCCTACCTCCAGGTACTTTATTGTCAAGATGGAAGCCTTTTCATTAAAGTTCTTGTTATGGGGTCCATACCCTACTCTTTCCCTTCTTAAAACAACACAAAAGCAAAAGCAAACAAACCCTGGATTCTACATCACCCTCCAGCTATTGTCCTAGCTTACTCTGCTGTCACAGACATGCTTCTCAAATGAGTTTATTGTGCCATCCAATATTTATTTATTGCACATCTACTACATGCCAGGTACCATGCTGGGTGCTGGAGAGTCAGCAGTAAACAAAAGGGACAAATCCCTACCCTCAACAAGTTTATCTTCTGTTCAGGATCACGGACAATAAACAAATACATCAGGGTACCTGGCTGGCTCGGTCAGTATAGCACACGACTCTTGATGTTGGGGTCATGAGTCCAAGCCCCGCATTGGGTGTAGAGATCACTTAAACAAATACGTCAACATATATAATATAATGTCAGTGAAATTAATAGATGTTGTAAAGTAAGATGAAGTGAGGATGGAGACACAGAGTGACTGGGGGGATTGATGGCTTTTTAGATTGGAGGTCAGGAGGCTCCTCTGTGAGGATGTCATGTTTGAGCAAGCAAAGCCCCAAACAAAGTGAGGTAATCTAAGAAGATCTGGAGGAAGAAGGTTCCAGGTAGAGGGAACAACAAACATAAAGCCATGTGGCAGCAACAAACATGAAATATTGGTGGAGCATCAAGAAGGTTCTAGTGGCTGAGTGAGCAAGGCAGGGGCAGGGGCCAGAGCTTAGGATGACCATACACATCTGCATGCCTTGGGCTGTTCCGGCATAATTATTACTATTGCCTCCTTTCACTCTCAAGGGTGCCTTAGGTTTAGATGATAAATTATATAGTCACCCTATGAGGAGGCCATTGTAAGCAGTTGGCATTTTATTCTGAATGTGATGGCAAACCTGTGGATGGTTCTGAGCAGGGAGTGACATGACTTGATTGACATTTTGAAGGATCATGACCAAGTACTTGAAACATTCTTTTGGCTGCTATAACAGCCCCCTTGGCTCTCCTCCATCTCCCTGGCTGTTCTTTCCCATTCTCCTTTGGCAGCTCTTTCTCTTCAACTCGAAGTCCAAATGTTGGACTTTCCCTAGACCAGTGGTTCTCAGCCAGTGGTGGTTTCTCCTCTAGGGCACATTGTCTACTATCTAGGGACATTTTTAAGTGGGGCAGGTACTATTGGTAGTTAGTGAGTAGAGGCCAGGGATGCTGCTAAACATCCTGCAATGCACAGAACGCCTCCCCACAACAAGAGTTTTCCAACATCAAAGTCAAGTAACCCTGCACCAGATTAACACTGTTCAATAGATACATAATGAGTTGCATATACAAATTTTTTCTAGTAGCTAAATTTAAAAAAACTAAAAAGAAACCAAGTGAAGTTAATTTTGATAATATATTTTATTTAATCCAACATGTATAAAATATCATTTTAACATGTGAATCAATATTAAAGATATCAATGAGATTTCTTTTGTTTTTATTCTCAAGTTAGTTCACATACAGTGTAGTCTTGGCTTCAGGGGTAGAATTCAGTGATTCATCTCTTACATATGACATCCAGTGCTCATCCTGAAAAGTGTCCTTAATGCCTCTTTAACCCACCCCCATCAATCCTGTTTGTCCTCTGCATTTAATTTTTTAAATATTTTTATTTATTTTTAAGAGAGAGAGACAGAGACAGAGCATGAGCAGGGGAAGGCAGAGAGTGAGTGAAACACAAAATCCGAAGCAGGCTACAGGCTCTGAGCTGTCAGCACAGAACCTGACCTGGGGCTTGGACCCAGAGACCAGACCATGAGATCATGACCTGAGCCGAAGTCGGACACTTAACCAAACGAGCCAGCCAGGCATCCCTGTTCTCTGTATTCAAAAGTCTTTTATGGTTTGTCTCCCTCTCTAAAGATATCAGTGAGATTTCTTTCATTCTTTTCTTTCTACCTTCCTTCCTTTTCTCTCTCTCTTTCAATTCTGGTATGTACTTCACACTTACCACACATAGTCATTTAGACCAGCCACATTTCAAGTGCTTAGTAGCCACATGTGTCTGATGGCTATTATATTGATGGCATAACTCTAGCTTCAGTGCCAGATAAAAGAGCCTACTGTTTAAGAGCTATACAAGGTAATAAAGCCTAGTGGTTTGGTTCTGGAACCCAACTGTCTTGATGAATTCCAGCCCTTCCACTTACTTCCTGTCTTCTCAGTGTTTCTCGTTTGTGAAGTAGGCATGATAATAATATTACTACTTTATAGAGCTGTCCAGGATTAAATGAGCTAATACTTACAAAACAGTTTCAGGTGTTACAAGTACCTACCTGTTAACTGTTTAGCTCTAGCTCCACCCACACTTTCTCTCCGGGTAATCCGTCCACTACTGTAGCTTTATGTGCCACTATTACCTAACGACTTCCAGATTTAAATATCCAGCTTAGACTCTTTTCTGAGCTCCAGACCCCCTCTTTAACTGTGTATCCCATTTTGACGACCTGGGGCATCTCCCATGAGCATGCCCTCGACACAGACCTTGACCTTCCCCTGCAAATCTGCTCCACCGCCGGGCCTTGCAGTCTGAGTCATTACACAGGGCAGCTATCTGGTGGCGCCTTGGATTTCTGCCTTTTCAGGGAATGTACAGTGGTGCATGGATTGTGCAACTTCTTGTAGGATGAGATTTCCACTCCACTAGTAGATGTCCGCAGAAGGCATGTGAGTGTGAGGGCATCTGGAATAAGAGTACAGCTGGGGCGGGTCTCCTGGGTGGCTCAGTTGATTAAGCATCCGACTTTGGCTCAGGTCATGATCTTGTGGTTTGTGAGTTTGAGCCCCATGTTGGGCTCTGTGCTGACAGCTCAGAGCTTGGAGCCTGCTTCTGATTCTATCTCCCCCTCTCTCTGCCCCTCCCCTGCTCATGCTCTGTCACTCTCTGTCTCCTGATAATAAATAAACGTTAAAAATTTTTTTGAGGGGCGCCTAGGTGGCTTAGTCGGTTAAGCGTCTGACTTTCGCTTAGGTCATGATCTCGCGGTTCGTGGGTTCAAGCCCCGCGTCGGGCTCTGTGCTGACTGCCAGCTCAGAGCCTGGAGCCTGTTTCAGTCTGTGTCTCCCTCTCTCTCTGACCCTCCCCTGCTCACGTTGTCTCTCTCTCTCTCCTAGAAATAAATAAAACATTAAAAAAAATTTTTTTTTGAAAAGAGTGGCTGGGGTGACCACCAGGGCCTCCTTAGGAAGATGAAACACAGGCTGCTGGTGCTCACTGTTCCTGCTACCCATGTATCAGAGTGTGTATGTATGTGTTTGTGTACTTGGCCATGTGGTTGTGTCTGTGGACGTGTGTGGAAGGGGGCACAGGAATATTATTTCATACTACTGTAATCGAGTGTCCTCAAGCCCATCTTGTTGTGGGGGTGAAAGTGCAGGTAAGCTCAGATGACCAATCCTATTCTCCCAAGTGAAGAGGTGGCTTCCTCAGTGTCCTGGTGGGCAGGTCGAGGGGAGAGACCTCTCTGGTGTCTGACCCACCATATCAAGACCTTCCCATCCCCCCCTCCCTGCTCTAGAAGTCCACCTTCCAGGCTGTTTCCAGTCTGCTTCCTTCTGCACCTTCGGGGTTTGCCGTGAGGATGGCAGGTGAATCCCTGAGAATCTTCCTTGAGTCTCCCTTCCCGGCTGGAGTCCTCACTGAGTGAAAAGTTTGGTCTGTTGTGTGGGGGGACCCAGGAAGGGAGGCTGGAGAATACCTCCCCACCCCCCTTTTTGAGGTCCTGCCGCAGCTTGGAGAATGAGCGCTCTTGGCATCTCAGGCCAGTACTGCCTCTGGTGAACTGGGAACCGATTCCCAGGGACTACCCCCCCCCCCCCCGCCCCCCGTCTGGTTCTCTTGGCCTGAGCTGTTCCGCCGCCGTCCCTTGGCGGGGATGACAGCCTCCCCTCAGATCAGAGCCTTTCCTTCCCCCTCTAGCACACACATTCCACTTGCTTTGGACCCTTATGGGAAAAGCTGCGGGGGAATTCTAGCCAAGGATCAGGCCACAGACACCGCCCCCAACCTCACCAAGCCTCCAGAACGCCAGGAGGCAGGAGCCGGTGCGCTCGACGCTTGCAAAAACTGGGGCATCGCGGAGCGGCGACCCTACAGACCCGCAGTGCCCTGCACGAACCAGGGAGAGACGGGGACCCCTGGGTTCCCCGGGGTGGGGGGGCCTCCAAGGGCACCTGCCCAAGGCCACCCAGCGCGCGGCAGCCAGGGCGGCGGAACCGAGCAGGACCTCCCAGCCGTCGGAGGGGGCGGTGACTGCCCCGGGCCTTCCCACGGCTCGGCGTACGCGTCACCGCGGGGGCGAGGGGGCGCCGGGGCGCCAGGGGCTGCGGCGCAGGAGAAGGCCCTGGGAAAGGGCGGCGGGACTGGGCGGGGCGGGGCGGAGCTGGGGCGGGGCCGGGGCGGGGCCCGACTTTCCGGCCGGTAGCTGGCATCGCGGCGCGGAGACCTGGAGCCGGCGCTGGCCATGAAGCGGCCCAGGGAACCCAGCGGCTCTGACAGCGACTCCGACGGACCCATCGACGTGGGCCGCGAGGGCGAGCTGAGGTGAGGGCCGGGATGGGGATACTGGGAGTGCCTGGATGGGTTCAGCGGGCCCAGGACTGGCCCTCCGTACGGCCTCAGGAGATGCAGGTGTGGGTGACGGCCTGCAGGTTTGAGTGGGTAGGGGGTGGGGATGGGAGGCGGGGACACGTGTGCAGCGTGGGCCGTGACACGCACGAGTGCCTGGATCTTCTGCGCTCTGGGCCATTCGGGGCCGAGGGTGTCGGGATGGAAGTGGAATTCAGGCTGGGAATGGCATGCCCAGTCCGTGATGGACATCCTGTCGAAGGGCCAGGTTGAGGCTATTGGAGGGGATTTCCTTGGAGATCTTAGGAAACCCTCATAGACTGTTGGTATCACACACCCCAGTCCAGAATCTGCCTGAGTAGGCAGAATAGCCATGCTTTCTCAATTCTACCCTAGTTTGCGTGTACTTTTCACATAGTACCCGAAATGCTTCCAGGGAGAAAGAAAATCTCCCTTTGAGCAAATTGGACTTCGGAATTAAGGTTTTGCTATTGAAGAAAATAAGAGCTGACTTGTCAGTGTCGGGGCAGAGACTCCAGTTCCAACACTCATTCTACTGCACACCCGGCTGCCAGTGTCTTTCAGCTCTAAATATTCTGACTTGCTTCAAACTTGTAAAACAAACTGCACTTGTACATTTCTGCTACTTCCCCCAGTTCTGTGGACAATCTAAGCTTCGGTCTCCTCGTCGGCAAAATGGGTATAAACAACAGAACTGATCTCACGGGTTTATTGGGAAAATCAAATAAGATAGTGTATGTCATGGGCTTAGCACAGGGCTTAGTACATAGCAAATATTTAATTCGTGTCAGGCACTCAACATGTGATGCATGAGCAGAGCCCTGAAAGAGAAGCAGGGACTGAGTAGGAGTCTGCGGGCCTGGGTCATAACCCCAAATCCTCCACCGATTCACCATGTGACCTCGGGCCATTATTTTCTATTTCTGAGCCCGGTTTCCTCATCAATAAAATAAAGGAGGACATGGAGCAGGAAAGAGAGAGGGCTATCTACTCTCTCCCGGCTCATCCAAACCTGACTCTCAGAATAGATTTGAAAGGAGAAAGCTACCCTGGGGTGCCTGGGTAGCTCAGTCGGTTAAAATCAATGCCGTACTCTTTTTTTTTTTTTTTAATGTTTTATTTATTTCTAGGAGAGAGAGAGAAACAGCGTGAGCAGGGGAGGGTCAGAGAGAGAGGGAGTCACAGACTGAAACGGGCTCCAGGCTCTGAGCTGGCAGTCAGCACAGAGCCCGACGCGGGGCTCGAACCCACAAACTGCGAGATCATGACCTAAGCGAAAGTCGGACACTTAACCGACTAAGCCACCCAGGCGCCCCTCAATGTCCTACTCTTGATTTTGGCTCAAGTCACCATCTCACAAGTCCTGAGACTGAGCCCCCAGTTGGGCTCTGCAGAGTCTGCTTGAGATTCTCCCTCTGCCTCTCTCTCCCTCCCCCCATTGGCACGCCAGCAGGCTCTCAGGAAAGAAAGAAAGAAAGAAAGAAAGAAAGAAAGAAAGAAAGAAAGAAAGAGAAAGAGGGATTCAGTTCCTTCTTAGGGATGTTTGTGAGGGCATTTCATAGTTTCAATGACTCTAGTTTTCTGAGACCAGGATATCCTACCTCAATCACAAATCCTTGTAAAAGGCCACCAGCTTCCAAGTATTTATAACTTATAACAGGAGGCAAGGCAACAGATAACCCTCTTGCATCCTGTACATTAATTAGGTTTGGGGGTATATGATATAATTTCCTATGCAACTTATTAGCATTCTTAAGTTGTTTAGCAGAAGCTGCTATTTAGAGAAGCTGCTAGCAGCGGGGAAGGGCCCAGCCCCACGTGCTGGTGGTGGAGGGGAGTCTCAAATTCAGTGTCATTGGGTCTTCATGAATCAGAGGGACTAAATCGATGCCAGAGAGCTGGCTCTGTCTTCCAAGAATTTGCAGCCTGACCAGTGATCTGCCAGGTCACACAAAGACCATGGACAGGATAGAAGACGAAAGGAGAGACAGCCTGTGGGCTGTGAGAACACCCAAGCAGGGAGGGGTCACTTACAACCAAAGGCATCAGGGAGGGCTTCTTGAAGGTGGTGGCATTTGGGCAGTGACGTAAAGGATCCGTGGGTAGATTTTTCCTATACAGCATTTTGTCCTTTTAGCCAGAACCCCTTTTTAGACACTGTCTAGATTCTTAGAGGAGCAGACCCCCTCAGAGCAGAGAAAGCAGTTGGACATCTGGCAGAGGCTGACTTATAGACCCCTCTTTGTAGCACTCACCAAAGGGCCCTCCCCCCAACAGACATCAATGCTTCAATTCAGGGAGTGCTGAACGATGCCTGCTGTGGCCCAGACCCTGGGCTGGGCATGGGGAGCCCAGATGTATCCTGCAGAGCCTCTGCCCTCAGGGAACTCTCAGAGAAGAAGAGCTTCATGTACAAAGAAAGCCAGATAAACTGGCAAGAGCCACTGGACTGGGGCAGCCAGCTTCCCCGGGGTCAGAGGCAGGGTGCAAATCCCCCACTCTCAGAGATGTGAGAATAAGGAGCAGGGTGGGTTCTATTGTCCCTGTGGGCATCTGCCTAGTGGTGACATCTTACCCCATATGAGAAAATCTCTCCTGTCTGAACCCAGACTCCTGACACATGTTGGGTCCCAACTGAGAGTATATAGCTCTCTCTCCCCACCCCACCCCTCCCCGTGAACATTCAATGAGTGCCTGTCATATGGCAGGCACTGGGTCAAGGTCTGTGGGTCTTTCCTGCATGATTTAAGGCACACAGTGGCCTTTGAAATTAGATAGACCCGAGTTTGATTCTCACCACCATTAACTTGGGCATTTCTGAACCTCTGCTTTCTCCCTTACAACACTGGTATGCTAATACCTACCTCACAGGGCGAGCCTTCGATGAGGTAATGTATCTAAAGTGCACAGCTCCCTGATTTGGCCCAAGTTGCTTCTGGAAAATGCTGCTCTCGAAGGAGTCACCATTTAGTTGGAGGGTGTCATGTTCAAGAGGCAGAACAGTCTAATGAGAAGACTAGAAGTCTGAAGGCTTGACTTGAGAGGCACAATTCTTAATTCTTTGTGTCTCTGTCACTCCATCTATCAAATGATTATTTTTCCTAATGTGAAGTAGCCCCAATACTACTTAATTCACAGGGCTGTTGTGCAGTACACGAGACAAGTGAATGTGGAATACTGTCTAGAACAAGGACTACTGGCTGCATGACACACGTAAGGGAGGTGACACACATGAGGGGGTGACAATACTGGATTAAAAGCCAGTAGACTTGGCTCTAGTTCTGGAATTTCCTCTAATTTGCTGTGTGGCCTGGAACAGACCCTTCCCCTCTCAGGGATTCCTTATTTTACAAGGGGGCTCAGCTCTCCCTGAAAACCCTTTGTTGGGGACTTTGTGATTCTGCCTTTGGTTGATGCAAAATGAGTGGGGTCACCTGCAAGGGTTCCGCAGGGGGAGCTCCCGAGGGGGGAACTGAGATGAATTCTGAGGGCAGTCAGGACTGGCAGCCAGACCACCTTGAAAGCTGCCCCCCACCTCCCCAAGAGACCTCCCCAGAAATCTGGCTCGGGACCATTTGAGGCCCATGGAGCAGATCTCGGTGGTCAGCATATCTTCTCTGGATCCGTGAAAATCTGCCTTATTTTCAGGCTCTCAGACAAGAAGCTCTCACACCTCCCCCCTGCCCCCCAATGTCAGGGCCAGATCACAGCCTGGAAGTGAGCTCTGGTTGAGCTCTTGGGAGCTTTAAGGATAAGGGGACTGGAGGGCTATTCAGACAGACAGGAAATGGGAATTAAGAGAGAAAACAATGCTGAATTTGGAGCCAGAAGACATGGATTCCCATGCTGGCTTTGCTCCTTAGCAGCTGCGTAGGCTGGGCAAGCTGCCTTTGGTCTCCAAGGCTCAGCATCCTCATCTGTAAAATGGGGCTTTTGTTAGGCTTGGAGGAGGGAAATACATGCAGTAAGGACAAGAAAACCGTGAAGTGAAGTTTGCCTGTGAGATATGGGAGTCAGAGGCGAGGGATAGTACTGCGGAGAACAAGTGACCAGAAGAGTGGAAAAAGGGATAGCAGAGCCACCATGCCCTGAAAGGGGTGCGTCAGCCTCTGACAGATGGTCCCTGAGGAGGGATCAGGCTGAGGGGTAGTGACGTGCGCAGCGCTAACCCAATACCCCTAGAGACTCCTTATCCAGCCTGGGGGGGACAAAGGCCATGTTTTAGTCTCCCTTGGCTCTTGAGGCTTGTCCTGAGTGTAGCTTTGCAAACAAGCTGCCCTTCAGATCTCAGGATCTGTCCATCGGAGCCCTGGACCCAGCTGCTGGGCCATCCCTCCCAGGAGCTTCACAGGCCTCTTACCGGCCCTTCTCATCCAGATGTTTGGACGGAGATATCCTTACCCAGATGTAGCTGGACAAAGCCAGGGACATGGCAGTGGGGTGTGATCAGTGTTGATGTGGACTCTCCTGCAACCTTGTTTCTCTCAGCAGTTGATGAAAATGATCTAACCTCTCATGCCAGGAGGGTAGTCACTCGGGCTGGCGCCTCCCTTGTGAGCCACAGAGGCGCCTGTCCCACAAAGGCCTAGGAGGTGGCTTTTCTGGTGTCGCTTCTCTGTTCCCCAGTGATGCCAAAGATGATGGCGAGAGGAGGGAGCCCAGCCATGAGCTCTGCCCTGCTCCAAGCACTTTTGGGTACTGGGGCTACAATAGGGAATGAGACAGACGTGGTTCGTGACCTCAGGGAGCTTATGCACTTGGTGGAGAGATGGACATTAATCAAATAATCATACAGGCAAAAAACAAGAAATGGGCATACATGCTGTGAATGCAGGGTGTGAGGAGAGCAGGGGCTATCTGGTGGGAGGGAGGATGTCAAGAAGGCTCCTCCAGGAAGATGACATTTGAGTTGAGATCTGAACGGTGGGAGAAGGTACGAGGCAGAGTGGCGTGGGCTTGGGGGGGGCAGAGTGCCCTAGAGAATTTTAGGCTGGGGAACAGTGTGTGTAACCACAGGAACAAGTTAGTGCATCCACAGGCTGGAGCACATAGAGCAAAAGAAAGTTGAGTCTAGGAGGGGACAGGAGCCAGCTGGGCCACCTGAAAGATGGTGGCCTTGATCCTAAAAGGATTGAGAAGGCCCTGAGGAGTTGTTGGGTTGTTTTTTTTTTTTTAAAATGTTCATGTTTATTCATTTGAGAGAGAGAGAGAGAGAGAGAACCAGTGGGGGAGGGGCAGAGAGAGAGGGAGACACAGAATCAGAAGCAGGCTCCAGACTCTGAGCTGTCAACACAGAGTCCAATGTGGGGCTCGAACTCACCAACGGAGATCATGACCTGAGCCAAAGTCAGACGCTTAACCGACTGAGCCACCCAGGCGCCCCAGCTGTATTTTAGACATGGAAAGGGCACGTTTGGATGAGGGGGTGAGGCCAGAAGAAGAATCAAAAGTGGTAGCCAGGTAGCCTTGCAGACCTGGGAGATGGGGGTCCAGGGGAGAGAGGAGGGGGAGAGGGGAATGACGGGGCAAGATCGTGGGTGCCCGTGCATATGTGTGGCATGTTGCATTTTGAAATGGCAGGGGAGTCACCTTGTCTAAAGTTATCTGTTGATCGGGCCCCCGCCACCCCGGGAGCTGAGCGTCTGGAGCTCTAGGCTGACCGCGCATCTAGGCCAGCCAGGGACTTGAATGGGGCCTCCAGGGTGTTGACCAAATGAATGGTCCTCAGTGTAGCTCCACGAATCCCCTCCATTCCAGAAGGACCTCGGAAGCAGGAAGCCGTTAGGAGGGCGAGCAGCGGGTTGCAGATTTCGGTCAGTCTGGGCAGGAAAGACCCCCCGGGCTGAACCTCTTCCGGGTGATGGGACTCCCGGGGTGCGAGCAAACATCCATCCGGTGCCAGGTCTGCGGAGGGAGGCCTGACGCGGTGCGGGCGCGGGGCCTTCGGGGGAGGCCAAAGCGGCGTCCCGAAAGTCCGAAGGGGCCTGTGACCCAGATGCCGCCTCCCCCTCGCCTCGGCCGCGCTGCGTGGGAGGAGGCGGCAGCTGCCGGCGGGGCGGAGGGCGGCCGGCGGGCGCGCCCGGCCCGTGGGAAGCGGCGGCATCTGCTCTTTCCACGCTCTTCCCAGCGGCTCTCTCTGAAACCCAACCCGCCGGCCCTGCCCCGCCGCCGCCGCCGCCCGCGCCCTCTCCCGCCCCGCCCGGGATCGGGTTGCAGGGGCCCGGCGGCCGGCCGCGGTTCCCCGACGCCCGCGGCGAGGGGCGAGGGGCGAGGGGGCAGGGGGCAAGGTCGAGAGCACAGCCCCCCGCGGCCCCAGCCGTCGCGCGACCCTGGGGCAGGAAACCGAGCGCAGGGCCACTTGGCCGGAGGTGGGGGGGGGGGGATGCAATGGGCCCCCACCCACGCCTGCCCTGCTCCACTTCCCGGCTTGGGAACCCTCGGCCTCCTGGGAGACCACGGTCGCCTGGGAGGGGGCTGTGCCCGCCCACATCCCCGCCTTCTCCAAGGTCAGCCCGGGCCAGGGAGATGGTCCCTGAGCTCTGAAAAATAAGACTTTTTCTTCTTCTGCAGCCAGATGGCCAGGCCGCTGTCCACTCCTAGCCCTTCGCAGATGCAAGCTAGGAAGAAACGCCGAGGGGTGAGTGTCTGTCTCTGCAGAGTCGCCCGACAAATCTTTGCCCTGGGTCCCCAGGGACCTGGTCCAGAGAACCCTGGTGGGAAACATCACCCCCATCTAGACTGCCTGAGTGCAAATCCTGGCTCTGCCAGTAGCTAGCTGAATGACTTTGGGTGAGCCACTTAACCTCTCTGTGCCTCACTTCTTCAGCTGTGTAACTGAAAAAAATGATAGTGCCTACCCCAAAGGGCTGTTTTGAAGATTAAATGGATTAATATAACGCACTCAGAACAGCATGTGACACCCAGTTAGCCCTTATTATTTATTCCAGCCTTCCATCTCTGCTCTCTGAGCCCAGAATTTTCATTTCCTCTCTGTGTGCTGAGGGGTAGGGGATGGGGGTCAGAGAAGGAGGCTCCCTGGCTTGCTCTTGGCTGCCCCCCCAGCCCCCCTTCTCCCCCAGGATGCAGCTGTGCTTCTGCCCTGGGAGTCCTAAGACCTGGAATGTGGCAGAGACCAGCCCTGCCACTCTCTTAGGAAACCACTTCCTTCCAGCCCTCATCTTTATCTGTAAAATCGGGGTCATAATGTCTGCCCTGCTAGCAGTGTTCTGCTACCAGTCTGGTGAGATGAGAATGAGGTAGTGTGATTGGAGGGCCTTCCCGACTAGAAGCAATGCGTCTTCGTGACCCAGCAACTGAAGAGGTAACCCTGACCTGCAGGAACCTCTGGGAACTGCTCCCGTGCTATGGCTCATGTCCCTGTTCTGACTGGCTGGTACCCTGCCGTACCAGTGGTTAAGCAATTTGACTATCACCCCGACAGACCAAGACGAGAGAGATCCGAGTTCTACTCCCAGCTTTGCACTTCCTTCCTGTGTGAACTTAAGCAAGTCAGTGCCCCTCTCTGAGCCTCAGTTTCCTCCTCCATAAAGTAAGAATAGATTTCCCTCCCTCACAATGTTTTAAATACGAGTCAGCGTCCATTGCAGCACTTTGGAAGCTGGTAAAGTGGCTTCAGGTAAATTCTTGTCGTTTTTTAGATTATAGAGAAACGGCGCCGAGACCGTATCAACAGCAGCCTTTCTGAACTGCGACGCTTGGTCCCCACTGCCTTTGAGAAACAGGTATGTGACCTTCCTGGTTGTGCTAGAGGAAGTGCCACGCAGGTGGCAGATAAGGTCCATTTTTCATGGCGTGTCTTACTTATTGGTAGCAGCTGCCTGCAGTGCTGGGGTTTTGTTTACTGATATCTGTCACTAGCCAGGGATAAGGGGAATGGAAAGTTATATTTACTGTGGTGTCTCAGATGTTTCGGCTCTGTGTCCGTTGTCCCATTGAAATGAATCCTCACAATGATCCCAGAGGGTAGGGATTATTATGCCCATGGCACATGTTAAGGAAATTGAAGCACAGAGAGGTGAAGTAACTCGCACTAGATCACACAGCTTGTAAAGAGCAGAGCGGAATGGGAACACTGAACTGTGTGCTTCTAAAGCCCCCCCAGCCCTCTGCACTACTGACAGTTCCAGAGCTGTTTGAAAGTGGAACAGGCTGCTCGGGGAGCGAGCCCCCTGCCAGTGCACATGTGGACAGAGGAAGACTGCAGTGGGAAATTCAGACAGTTAAATGAATCACAGCCTGGAAGATTCTCTACCCTGTGCTCCAAGGCATGATCATGGGTCACGTGCCTTTCTTCCTGCTGGTGAGAAGTCAGTCATTCCACAGACATTCACTCAAACTTGCACAGGTCCAGCTGTGACCTAGACCTGCTACCTGGCCTCAAGAACTTACATGGAGGGTCTGATGGTCAGGTTTCGCTTGGGAGATCAGGTGATGCTGGATGCTTAGGATTCATTCCTCAAGAGAGAGAATAGAGGAAGAACAAGTGTTGTGGCACTAAGATGCTGAGCTAGATCTTGGGCTGGGCTAGGAGGCAGATGGGCACGCAGGAGTGGCATTCTGGTGACGGTGCACTAAGTCATGGAGGTCACAGATGAGACCTCCCAGGGAGAGTGTGCCTAGCGAGAGAGAAAAGGGAACGAACACCCACAGGGCGTAGCCCCATTTTAACGGACCGGCAGAGCCAGGTGGAAGAAGATGCAAGAAAACAGGGTGTCATGGAAGTCAAGGGAAGTGGGGAGGTTTCAGGAGGGACGCTCAGCAGTGCGGTGGGCGGGCGGACTAAAATGAGAACTGAAGAGAATCTATTCTGCTGGGCACCTTGGCCAAAGCAGAAGCCTGAAGGCAGGCAGTGGTGGAGCCGGAGGAAGACCTTGAGCTGGTGAGGGCTGCTGACGCCGCGGGGAAGTGAGAGGTCAGCTGGACGCCTTCACACTTCTGTCTTCCGCGCAAACAGGGCTCCTCCAAGCTGGAGAAGGCTGAGGTCCTGCAGATGACAGTGGATCACTTGAAAATGCTCCACGCCACTGGTGGGACAGGTACTGATGCTCTTCTCTCCCGGGAGTCATTCATGCAACAAATGTGTGGGGTCTAGGCCCTGGGGATCCACCGGTGAGCGAAGCAGACACAGTCCCTGCCCTCATGGAGTCCACAGTCGATGGTGGGGCTAAAGCAGGTGCAGGTGGAGCAGCCACAAAGCCTGTTTCTCTTCTTTCAGTGTCGCCCTCTCCACTTCCAGTGTCCCCACTTGTCCCAACCTTGTTCTCAACTCTACTCCTTCCGGCCTTAGCCCTTGAAAGAGCCCTTCTACACAGACTATACCCCTGGCTTCCCCCCTTTACTCCTCACCCTCCTTACACATTAGCCTGAACGAACTCGTTCTCACTGGGATCCCAGTTGAAACCCTTGGGAGGGGTCTGCCTGAGATTTTTGGCCGCTGGTGTGCCTTCTGGGCTAGTGCTGGGGTGATACTGTGTCCTTAGCGGTGCTGGGATCATATGTCATGCTCACAGTTCAAGGTCAATCGTGGGATTGTGTGGTAGCATACAATCGTAACTCATTCCTTTATTTTGAGCGGGTGCATTACAGTGAAGTCATGGAACTGTGGCTTTCAAAAGACTACGCTTCACTGTATATTTTGGTGATTTCACAACTGAGAAATCGTGAAAGCTCCACAGACCTTGACCATAAGAACCTAAGTCCTAAGACCTTAACTTGCTACTTTTGGAGGGGACAATTGCATTTTAAGTGACCCAGCCTGGTGCTTGTCAAGCTTCAGTGAACCGCACTATCATCTGGGGACAGGCAGCCCTGGGGCACACCCCAGAGATTCTGAGCCAGGAGGTCTGGCCTGGAGGTTAGGAATTTGCAAGTGTAGCAAGCACGCCTGATGACCCTGAGGCAGGTGGTCACTTCAAGAATTTCTGCCAGAGGAATGCGTGGCCAACAGTGAAAACTCCTGATTCCAATCAACCAGCTGGGGAGATATTTCAAACTAGATTTATGGTTACCCCATTAAAAGAAAAATAGTGACTAATATTTGGGGCAGCATTTTGTAATTTCAAAATGCCTTCACCGTTGTTATCTCACTCGATTCTCACAAGAATCTTGAGGCTGGGGGTTGTTGTCATCATTTTCTAGCTGAGGGCTCATGGGAAGACAGAGATGTGGCTTAGACGCTAGCTTTGCGTTAGAATCCTGAACTGAGTTGATTCAAATCCCATGAATTGTGAGTTTGGGTCTATTACTTGCCAGCTCTATGACCTTGAACAAGTGATTTGGCTTCTCTATTCCTCAGTTTCTCATCTCTGAAATGGGAATAATGATAGGGTTTTCTGAGAAGTAAATCAGATCATGCAAATTAAGTACTCAGCCATGAACCAAGGACCTGCTGCCATAGTCATGAGGCCAGTGCTCGCAGAGGCTGTTCTGTCTTTGTATAGAAGGTGGGTGAGAGCGGGGCAGGTATAAAGGCAGTGAGAATTCCATACCTCTGTGGGTAGTTCAGCTGGTTGGACCTTACTGAAACCAGCCAAAGAGAGGGTCCCAGCCTGATGGCAGCAGCTGAGGACCAGATCAGGGTCCTACCTTCCTGACAGCCCTTCAGGCCAGAGGACACACTCAAATGCCCACAGTGGCCAAACCAGTAATATTCCCTTGACCCTTGAGCAACACAGGTTTGAATAGTGCAGGTCATATGCAGAGTTTTTGAAGTAAATGTGTTAGAAAAATTTTTGGAGATTTGCAACAGTTTGGAAAAAAAATTGCAGATGCACCCCGTAGCCTAGAAATATTGGGAAAGAATAAGAAAAAGTTGGGTATGTCATGAATGCATACAATAAATGAAGATGCTAGTCTGTTTTATCATTCACAACCATAAAATATATACACGTTCAGACTTATCAAAACTTTCTCATACAAATACTTACAGACCACACGTGCAGTGGAGAGAAATGTGAATGGAAAGATGCACTATAATCTTAACTGCATAAAATTAGCTGTAGTATATGCACACCGTGCTACTGTAATAATTTCCTAGCTACTTCCTGCTCCTCCTGCCCTGAGCTCAAGTGTTGCAAGTTATTTGCTTAGGACTTCATGTGACACTAATCATCTCCGCTTGAGCAGTTCGTCTCTCCAGTGAATTGCTATCACAGAAAAAGTTATCCCTGGTGGTTCTCACTTTAGTAGTTTCTGAGGAGTCAAAAGTTTGCTCAGTTTTCGACTACCCTGGGGGAGGATCAGTGCCCCTAACCCCACGTTGTTCAAGGCTCAAGTGTAAATGCTGGCTGACTTTGAATTCATTGACTGTTTCTGCGCACCACTGCATTTAATTTCACCCTCACAGCCCTGTGCAGCAGGTATTACCATCTGCCCATTTTACAGCCCCGGAAATTGAGGCTTAGAGAGATTAAGAGGCTTGTCCACAGTCAGGCAGCTAGTTAAGTGGAAACGTTGAGGTCCAAAGACCTCAGGCTTCATTGTGACATCATGCTGCCTTCTCTGAGGAGTCCCCCAGCTCTGATAGCTGCTGCCGCCACCTCCCAGCATCCGCCCCCACCAGCAGGCAATGGTGTTCTACACCTTTGCGTGCACAGGCTTGTCACACCTGGCAAGTGTCCACTTAAATGACATAATCTCAGTCGCGAAGTTTCTTCTCTGTGTTAATCGTGAATTGCAATGAAAACAGTACTCTGCATTTTATCCTGCTTCACAGTTCAGTGGACTCATGTGGTCCTCACAACATATCCCAGATACCCCAGGAAGGGTGATTATTCCCACTTCCCAGCTGTGGGGACCAGGGCTCAGAGAGGTGAGGTGACATGCGCAAGGTCACACGGGACCGACCCCGGGATCAGCACTCGTCCCCCGCCGGGTACGCCCTCACCACGCCTCACTTTGCAGGATTCTTTGATGCCCGAGCCCTGGCAGTTGACTTCCGGAGCATCGGTTTTCGGGAGTGCCTCACCGAGGTCATCAGGTACCTGGGGGTCCTGGAAGGGCCGAGCAGCCGTGCAGACCCTGTCCGGATTCGTCTTCTCTCACACCTCAACAGCTACGCAGCTGAGATGGAGCCTTCTCCCACGCCCGCTGGCCCCCTGGCCTTCCCTGCCTGGCCCTGGTCCTTCTTCCATAGCTGTCCAGGGCTGTCGGGCCCCAGCAACCAGCTCACCATCCTGGGAAGAGTGCCCGGGCCCATCGTCCCCAGCGCCTCCTCTCTTGTTTACCCCATCCCCCCCCTCCGCACCACTCCCGTGCGCCGAGCCGCTGGTGCCGTCCTGCCAGCCCGGAGGAATTTGCTGCCCAGTCGAGGGGCATCTTCCACCCGGAGGGCCCGTCCCCTGGAGAGGCCCGCCGCCCCCCTCCCCGTGGCCCCTAGCATCAGGGCTGCCAGGAGCAGCCACATGGCACCCCTCGCGCGATCTTCTTCCCCCGTGCTCCCTGGCATCATGGGGTCCCCTGCTTATGTGGGTGTTCCTGCCCCCAGGCCTTCTTCCCCAGGGGCTGCTGTGCTCTGCCACTCCTGGGTCTCTGAAATCACTGAAATCGGGGCTTTCTGAGCTGGCTTCTCCCCAGGAGCGAGGAGGGTTCTTTTTCCAGGAGCTGTAAAAACAGTGCTGTCGTCTGCCCCGCTTCCTGGCCTGCCTCACCTATCTCTGAAGGCCCCTTCCTCCTCTGGCCCGTCTCCCCTCCTCACTGCCCGTCCACCCAGCTCTCCCGGAGCTGTCGTGATCTCAGAGGCCTAGTGTCATTTCTTACCTGGACAAATAAGTCGTGGGAGGGCCCCCACTAGCTTTGCCCAGACTCTTTCCTGTCCCCCCTGCACACAGGGGGCAGCAGGCATGATCTAAGGTCTGGGAGCAAAGCTTTCACCTAAAAGGCACAGTGGCCTCAGGCAGGCTGCTTGCCTAGAGAGATCAGACCCCAGCCAGAGCAGTGACTGACGGGTGCAGCCTTCCCGGGCCCCAGCACCAGGACATAGTGTCTGCCTTGCTTCTGGAGACAGTAACTGAGCAGGGGCCCCAAAGCTGTCTCCAGAGAACCCCTGCCCACCCCATTGCAGTGAACCACAGGACAGCCCCCCCATCCACCACAGCCAAGGCCTGGGGATTAGGGGCCCAGCAGGGCCTGCTCGGACCGCCTTCCCCACTGCAGATACCTACCCTCCAGCTACCCCACGCTTCCCTGCACAGAGCTGGGAGGGGTCTGGCCAGCAATAGGACTCCAACAAAACAGGGGCGGCGCCCCCAGACAAGAGCCAGGACGGAGCAAAGAGAACCCAGCTCCTGGCCGCTCGCACCGTCACCAGCCTCCAGATGTGTGGTCCCTGCTGGGTGCACAGTGTGGAAGGTCATGTTCCCATGTGATGGCGCCCAGAGAGGAACCCTCTTGGGATTCAGCGCCAGACGTTTGTGCCGCCTGGTTTGTATCCGGCTCACAGAGCCCAGACCGTGGGGACAGCCAAGGGCCATCAGGCTGGACAAAAATAACTGCAAGGAGGGGCGAGAGGAGGGACGGTCAGAGGCGGCTCGGCCCTTCAAGGTCACACGGTGGGTCAAGGGCCTGAGATCCTGTTCACCCAGGATTCCGCGCAGCTGGCTCTGCTCAGAGGCCATTTCATTACCCAGCTCTGCTCGGGCCACTTTTCCCCTAACAGAGGGCACAAATGGCCTGGTGGTGTCCCAGTCGAACAGCAGAGACTGAGCAAGATTAGGGCAGACCCAGGACTGACAGATGGACCAGTACTGCCAGACCAGTTGTAAGAATGTAGAACCACTTCTGTGCTTGTTGGCAAATGTTCACTTCCCCTGAGTGCCTTTAAGTGGCCCCCTGCCCTGGGCTCCCGCAGGACCCCATTCCGGTTAATGCCTGGCAGACCCAAGGCTATGGGGTCCTCCAGCTGGCAATTCCTTGGTGCTTATTCACACTGGTTATTAAATACTTCCTTCGAATGTCACCCCCGGGAAGATTCTTTCACCGTCACTCTTTGACGGGACTACCCTCCCCAGAGACTAAATTGAGGAGATCCTTGGGCTCAGAAGTAGAGTTTGCTAAAACCCTGGGGGAGAGGGCCCTTTCAGAGAAGTAGGGCAGGGGGCAGAGATCATTTAAATGACCCAGAAATCCCTTTTGAAAAAGGCAAATTCCTCAAGAAGGCAAGAAGAGCTGAAGTGTTCTTTCAGTCCTCAGCGTTAGTCTGATCAGATCTCTGTCCTCCCGGATGGCATCTGAGATGTGTAGCAGTGGGCGAGAGGGCGTCGTTTTAAGGAGGGGGTCGCTGGCCTAGAGTGCTCCTGAGGGAGACAGACAGGGAGGGCAGGGTGGTCGGCAGGCTCCCAGGAGTGGGGAGGGGGGGGACAGAAAGCAGAGCCCAACTTGTCCTTTCTCACAGAGGACAGGAGGGGCTGCTCCTGCTCCGAGGCTCCCTTCTTCCCCTCCTCGTCTCCCTGGCTATCCCAGCTGGTGGCTCACTGCTCCCTTGATGCCACGTCAGTGCCGCAATCCTGCAGTTTGGCAGCTTGACAGCCCGAGAATATGGAAAGCCCGTTTCACATTTCCAGTCCCCAACTCCAGAAGAGTCTGTTGACACCGTCGAATGAGATGGAAACGGCCCAGAACTTTCAGCATCTGAGTTGACCTTGGGTTCAATCTCCCCTGAGAGATGGGGGTGGGGGAGAATGGTGACCATGTATTTGTTTTCAGGGTTGAGGACTTGTATCTTTTGTTTCTATCCCCAACCCTTTCTGGTGTCCCCAACTCCTACCCCATTGCTGGGGCTGTTGCAGGCATCCAATAAAGTTGTTTTCGTTCTTCTAGAAACCTCTGAAAGATTCCACTTCTTAAGATCTCTGGGGTCAGTCCTCTTCTCCTTGAACCTGCAGCCGTCACCCTGGTGTGACCACTTCACCTGTCCCCAGATCACTGCCCTCCACAAGACCACCTTGCTTCTCTCTTGCTTTGTCACTCCGTTCTCAAGGCAACCAGAGAGAGCTCTCAACACGCAAATTGTATGATACCAACTCTGATGTAAAACTCTGGCTCGATTACCCTATTCTTCCAAAGATAAAACCCAGGCTCTTCCTCTTCAGTCCCAACCCGATTTCTAGCCAGTTCTGATATTGCTCACTGTGTTTCTGCCACCCTGGCTTTCCTTCCTTTTCTCAACATTTCAACCTGTTCCCACCTCCAGGACTTTGCATATGCTGTTCCCTTGCTCCAAATGCTCTTCCCCTACCTTTGTCATGGCTGAGCTCTTTATGCCCTCAAGCTTTGTCTTCATCCCACCTCCTCAGAGAAGGCTTCCCTGACTGCTGTGCTTGAGTAGGTAGTTCATCTATCTCAAAGTCCCTTATTCTTCCCTTTCGTAGGACACTTGCTGTTGCACATCATGTTTACTTCTTGGTTGACCGTCTCCCCCACCAGCATATAAGCTCCGTGAGGCCAGAGACCACGTGTGGTTTGCTCTCCACCCTGTATCTGGTGCCACGCACAGTACCTGGTTCTAAGTCAGTGTTTGATAAATAGCTGTTGAATAAATGAACTGGAGAGGTGAGGAATCTTCCAGATTCAAGCTGCTCGATGGTACGGGCCCCTGTAGGGGTGAACTCCCCGCTGGCCGACTTTGTGGGGAGGCTGGAGAGCAAAGCGAGAGACGGGGCCAAGGTACTGGAAGTTCTGGCAAATGGGGAGAAGGCTCGGGCCAAAGAAAAGTGCACTCGCTCTGGAGCACGTGCTGACAGCTGAGAACAGCCTGGCGCCCCTGCCAGCAGGTATTGCGCTCCACTCTTGCCCTGATGGATTTGGCTTGCAGTAACTCTAACAAACATTTGCAGGGGTCTGCTCCGTGCCAGGCCAGGCGTGGTGGAGCCAGGGGGATGGGGACAGTCGCCCTGAGGGCGCGTGCCCTCCTTCTAATGACAGTTTGGTGAGGGGGGAGTGGAGCGAGGCCTGATGAGAAAGCTGAGGGGACACGGAGGGGATGTCTGCCTCTGCCTAGGGTGGGGAGGGGACAGCTGGGAGGAAGGCTTCCTGAGGGATGACTGGAGGAGGCATTTCACCAGCCCAGGGAACCCATGTGCAAAGGCCTGGAGGCGGCACCAGGTGCCCTGCAAGTTGGGTCTAAGTTGAGCGCAGCATTCAGTGATGGAGGGAAGGCACACTAGCCTGGTCGCTGGAGCCTGACTTCCTGGGTTCAGGCTTCACCTCTGTCACTTATCAGGCTTGTGGTCTTGGGCAAGTTACTTAACACCCCTAAACCCCAACTTCCTCATCTATCAAATAGGGATGACGCAGTAATGGCTATTAACTGATTTTACCTACACCCCACCCTGTGAGGATGCTTTTCTTGGAACGTTCCCATTTTAGATGAGACAACTAAGCCAAGACACCATCTCCTGAAGTTAGGGGAAAGCGAACGGGGCAGCACACATAAAGCCCTTGGTCCAGAGCTTGTGCCGCATGAAACACTCAGTCTTAGTCATGAGTGTCATTAATGGAAACAGTCTGGATCCAAATTGGGGGGAACCCTGTGGGCCATGCAGAGTTTGGGCTTTAGCTTATAGGCAATACAAGCCATGGAAGGTTCTGCAGATCAATGCCAAGGTCAATGCCAAGGTCAGAGGCATTTAAGAAAGTCCTGCTTGAGGGAGTGCCTGTGTGGCTCAGTCAGCTAAGAGTCCAACTCTTGATTTCGGCTCAGGTCATAATCTCATGGTTTGTGAGTTTGAAACCCAAGTCAGTCTCTGTGCTAACAGCACAGAGCCTGCTTGGGAATCTCTTTCTCTCCTCCCCTCCCCTGCTCACATGTACTCACGTGCTCTCTCTCTCTCAAAATAAAGAAATAAACTTAAAAAAGAAAGTCAGTCCTGCTTGGGGTAGTGACTGGGAGAAGGAGTTTCCAGATTCAATCTACCTATTCATTGGAAACACCTAGATGCTTTTAATTTTTTTATTTGAGAGAGAGAGAGAAAGAGATAGTGGGGGAGAGGGATGGAGGAGAGAGAGAGAATCCCAAGCAGGCTCCACACCCAGCACAGAGCCTGTTGTGGGGCTTGATCCCATCACCCTGAGATCATGTTGAGGTGAAATCAAGAGTCTGACACTCAACTGACTGAGCTACACAGGTGCCACTGCCCCCAGATGATGATTTAACCTTGGTGCAGCAGAGCCCCGACATCCAGTAAGGAGGTGGGAGAAAGAGTTGGGGTTTCTTGGCTAGTCAACATAAATTTCCATTAAGTAGGTGAGCTGGACTCCACCTTGTCAGTCTGGAAAGGACTGACACTTTCTGAGAAGCAAAGTAGAAACTAATTTCCCCAAGGGCATCTCTGTCCTCCAACTGCCTCCTAGGTCCTGGCCCATAGTAGCTGCATAAGAAACATTTTGTGTGGGAAGCTTTGGGGATTTAGAATTCATTTAGGAGACACTGAGTATTTCTTTGACTTTGTGAAAAACTCAAGACATTAGCTTCCTTCCCTCCTTCCTGGGGAAAGAGGGTAGGAAGAATCAGGCCCAGATATCAGCTGATGGCATTAATAACAATAAACATTTTTGAGCACTTGATTTACATTATTTCATGTAATCCTCCTATAGCCCTGGGAATAAAGTATTATTATCCCCATTTTACAGAAGAGGCAATTGAAATTCAATTTGTTAGTGAAAAGCACCCAAAATTTACAACACTAATCAATGTGCTAGCCAAAGTGAAAACATTGGTCTGTTGATTCAGTCTTACCCAGTGGAGTGCACTGCTTCCTTCCCAGGCTGCCTCCTGTCATATAAAGCCTATGACAATCAGTGACAGATTGTCTTAAGAATTGGTGGGCTAGACTATTATGTTAGCCTGAGAAACCTTTAGCCCATCATGCTTTTCTCTCTATGCTAGTGAGAGTAAGGCTTGACTGCTGTAACAAAAAGGCCCAGCTATAACACAGTGGATGAAAGAAGATAGAAGTTTCTTTCTCTTTTAAAACATGTTAATTTTTTTTGAGAGAGAGAGAGAGTACACGTGTCTAAGGTGGGGAAAGGCAGAGAGGGAGAGAGAGAATCCCAAGCAGTCTCCACGCTGTCAGCACAGAGCCTGATATAGGGCTAGATCCCACGAACCTCAAGGTCATGACCTGATCCGAAATCAAGAGTCAGATGCTCAACCAACTGAGCCACCCAGGTGCCCTAGAAGTATATTTGTTTCTTATGTAACTGCCTGGTGGGTGTTCCAAGTCAGCAAGAAGCTCTGCTCGATGCAGACATTCTAGAACCCAGATTCCTTTCCATTTTGCTCCCTGCCACCCCCTATGGCATTGTGCCTACATGGTTGAAGCTAGGTCTCCATGGGCGGAAGCCAGCAGGAAAGGAACAAGAGCCTGGTAGAGGCATGATGTGTTTTAAACCCAAGACCCAGGAGTAGCACGTGTATGTATGTCCGTCCACTGGGTGAGAACTTTGGCGAGAACTTTGGTGGTTGGCCACATCGAACTGCAAAGGAGGCCAGGAAGTGCATTTTAGCCGTGTTCTCTGAAATAGGTGTGAATGGGTGTTGGCTGGTAGCCTCTATCAGCTGGTCCTTACCTTCCAGCCTGGGAAGTTGAGACGAAAGGGGGAATCAGAGCCACTGTGACTGACTGCTGTGTGTGCACACATGCACATACACACAATCCAGGGGTCAATTAATTTTGAGTTTAAGGAACCTGATATAGGGGCTCCACCTACCATTCTCTGATCCCACAGGGGTAGGTTGGCCACCCTCAAATGGAATTGTGTCTGCACTGGGCGCAACTCTCTGGAGAACTCCCTCAGAAAACATAATGTAAGACCAGGAGGGCTGGTTGCCAGTGGGCCGCAGCAACCAATGATTGGTGTCACCTGGAGGGATTATGTGTCACAGTGTCACCATCCTGGCTCCCCACTGGGGAGGAGGCACTATAGATGTTCACACCTTCCCTGACCCAAACGGGCTGTCTTGCTTGCTTGCTTCTCTGACTGCCTGGGACATGGCCTACTGGGGACTTTGGTGAAAGGCCCACCACACAGGGCTGCGAGTTCTGTTTGTGGGACTTGAGTCTCTCATGAACAGGGCTACTGAGATGGCCCTCGTGAATTACTTCACAGTGGCGGGTGGAAAGGGGCCAGGCATTGGGTTTCCAAAGACCCCAGGTCTCAGGACTTTATATTTTTTAACCTCTTGTCAGAGTAAAAAAAGAAGCAGGAGTGTCATTCAACCCATGAATCTTAGAAAGCTGGCTGGCCGACCTATTCTCCCCTGAGTCCTGGGGCCATTTTAAAGTCAGGGTTGACTCAGGTCTTTGGGCAAGACCTGGGTTGCCCTGCTCTGTTCAAAGAAGTGCAGTGTGTAACCCCTCAGTCCAGGCACCTAGATGTCTTGTTAGAGCCTCTGTAAAATAATAAACAACTCCAGCAACACTAAGAGGAACCAGTCAACAAGAAGGAAAAGTAATAATGCTCTATATCGTACAGCATGTTACATTTCAAGTGCCTCTGAGGGTATTATCTCACTCACACCTCTTGACAATCTGGTCAAGGGAGCCAGGACAGGAATTATCTCTGTAATGCAGATGAGAAACCCAGTCACATTAAGGGATAAAATAATTTGCCACCCCCCCCCCGCCCCCGGGGCACCTGGGTGGTTCAGTTGGTTAAATGTCTGACTTAGGCTCAAGTCTCACGGTTCGTGGGTTCGAGTCCCGCATCAGGCTCTGTGCTGACAGCTCAGAGCCTGGAGACTGCTATGAGTTCTGTGTCTCCTTCTCTCCCCCTCTGCCACTCATGCTCTGTCTCTGTCTCTCAAAAA